GTCCATCTCTCGCTCATGTGGTATCAGGACACTTTGTCACACAGAATTATCTTGAAAGGACAAACTGAATCATGTTTCTCCATCTGACTAGCACAGAATCTGGCAGTACAACCCTCATTGGTGCAGTTCAAAGGCCTGTAGCCACAGTGGAGAACGTGCTCAGCAAGTTGTTCTGGAGTGTTAAATTTGATGCTGCAGTGATATTCATTCTTAAAGTCTACATTCTTGAGCAAAATTTGAGCAATTCCTTCCCTCCGATCCGTCAACCAAAACCCATTTACTTCCATCTCTTGAACAAAATCATCTATTTTATCTTCTCTCTTTTCGCTCAACAGCCAACCTGAAACCCGACTAAACAAATTTCTCTTTGTAGTAGCAAAGTCATCAATAAAATCAGAAATAATATCAAAGGGATGGTCAGAAGCTTCAGCCTCTGGACCACCTTCCAAGACAACACGTTCAGCAACAAACGTTTCACTTCTTTGGGTAAGATAATCCACCATTTCTTTTCTAATTTCAGCAGCCACTGAACCAGGACTCCTGAAGATGTCACCTGTTGTGTTGTCAATAGAAGCAGTAGCCAATCCTGAGAGGAAAACTTGAGCAATCTTGTGAACTACTTCTGTATCATAAAGATCACAACGGAAAGAAGGGCCCCCCTCTTTACCATTTTCAATCTTCTCTGGTACATGTTCCACATCTGTTGCAGGAGGATCCATGCCAGAAGATTCTAACAAGAGAGATTGTGATGCCATAAATTATTGATACGAGGAAATCTATCAGCAAGCAAGAAAGAGAATAGGTAAGACAAAAGAAGGATCTATACAATTAAATACCATATACTTAAAAATGATGACATCTAAGGTTTCACACTTCCATTAAAATGACCTTTAATGACTTTACTTATCTAGTGGCTCTGAAGCACATCAACCTTTACATGGCAACATTGATGATGAGACTATCCAAAGAAGATATTCATATGAAAATAAGAGTCGATATTAATCCTATTGGAGGCGGGATCAAGTGCCACAATTGCACTAGCTATAACAAAAAATTAGAGTAAAATTTACAACAGAGCAAATAATCAAAATCAAAATCGAAGCTAATTCACATGCCTACAGAAATAGTTTGAACTTGATAATTAACAGAAGATCATACCGAAAATGAAACCTTGAATTATTTAAAGCTCCTCTTCTATTCAGTTCTACACTTCCAATCTCGCTTCCCCTCACGATTACAATTCCATCTCGACTCTTGAAGTCTGCTTCTAATCTGTCCGATTTTTTCCCCAAAATCCATAAATTATCCTACTTTCTTCTCCAGAATCAATCCCTCATAATTCCATCTCGACTCCCTCCTCCATTGCCCTCTGTTCTACCTTCTCCCTCTCTCCGATTCTTCTCTCTCTCTTTGCGGTTCTCTTTTCCCATAAATCAGCTCTCTAAAAGGATGGAAATTTCCCCTTCCTTTTCTCTCCATCTTCCCCCTCACGGGCCTTTAATCTCTCTCGCTGATCTCTAACTTATTTTATAATTAAATTAAAATATTATAACCCGTTATTTTTTTCTCTAATAATAATATATGAAGGTTATTATTTTATAATATATATGCCTCTACTTAGTTTATATAATATATATTAATATATAATAATATATAATATTACAAATTATGTACAAATATATCCATTTAATATTAAATACATACACATAAAACTAAATTAAGTTTAAAATCTATTAATTTTAGTTAATAGATGTGCTTCAATACGGTGAGAAATAATATCTTTACGATACATTCAATTTTATTAAGAAGATAATTAAAAAATTTTATGAAGAGGATTACATATATTTATAAATATATATATGTATGTATACGTTTACATATAAAAAATATTTTATTTTCTAGTATATTATATATCAACCACTGTAATATCAGTTAGTATTACTAAGAGATTTGAAGTTTTATAAAGTATATTTTTATGGGAAGATGTTGTTGATGCTTGAAAATTTTTCTTTGGTAAAATTGTATGGTATTAAAAAGCCGATTGGTATTGGTGGACTTGGCATTAGATCTTAGGGCTTCAAGGGAAGTGGCTTTGAAGATTTTTTGGGAAAGAGGATAGATTATGAAAGAAAATTATTTACTTAAGATGGTGTGATCCTATGAATGTATGTCTTACCGGTAGGTTTAACATTCCACATGGAATAAGGTGATAGAGAAAAATATTAATGCGGTGGTTACAGTTCTAGCACTGTCTAAAATATAATATGGATAGAGAAAATAAGATTAAATTTTGGTTGGATATTTGGATTGGTGATGAGAACCTTACGGGGTATTTTTTCCAGATCTACTCTATTGCTCAAAAAAAAAAAATATAACTGTTGAGGAAGCTTATAAAAGCATTAATGGTGTTACTGTTTAGCTTATTGAGGTCACCAAAAATTAAATGATTCGAAAATTTATGAATACAAAGAACCTCTGAAGTATATTGAGGCGCAACACGTGAAACAGGGCAGCAATCAAGTGGTCTGAAAATGGGGAGAAAAAAAAAAGAGTTTACTGTCTCTTCTTATTACATATTCTTATGCAATTGGGATAGAAATTATAACCCTGATTTTCTGGCTGTGCAAATCTAGAAAATAAAAGCTCTACTGTATTTTGTTTTCTTCGTTTGGGAGACATCTCTATCAGAAAATTCTAACCATTAACAACCTCGGAAAAAGGGGATAGATTCTGGTCAATGGTCCTATAGTTGTTTACAAGCGGAAGAGACGTGCACTCATTTATCGTTGTGGTGCCCTTTAGCTTACAGTGTGTGGAGTACGGTGTATGGTCTCTTGGGGCTTGATTGGATGATGGCTAGGTAAGTGAGGCAAGGAAATTTGGACTTAGGGTAGTTTAAATGTGAAATGTAACATTACTAACTTTATTCTTTTGACTATTTTATGGACCGTATAAAAAGAAAGTAATGTTCGAATTTTTGAAAGTGTTAAGAATAGTATATACAAAATAAATGATAATTGAATTCATTATTTTAAATATATTTTGTTAGGTCAATATATGATTAGTAATGAAAATTTTGAAAATATATAAATACGTTAATACTATTATAAAATTCTTGTAAATGGGCGATAGCCTTTTTTAGTACCATGTTTATATATCTTTATATATACTTCACTTTTTATTTTTTTTAAAAAAATTTAGTTATTACGAAATAATTAATGTTTTTAATGATGTAATTTAATGTGATACAATTTACACGATATTATATATATATATATATATAACAAATGAACTTATATATATTTTTAAGCCCAACATTAAAGAGTTAACCTCCCCGATTTGCTACAAAAACTTAATATAATTTTTATTATTTACAAACAAGAAAATTAGATTGAATTTTTTAATTCGCTGGAATTATTTTAATTAAAATAATATAATTATAACAAAATATTTATTTTTATTTTTTCAAAAACAGCAGCATGTCTAAAATTGACCAGCAACTTCGTGGGCCCAGCCCATGTTGAACAACCAAACTGAGTCACCGTCTTCCCCGGCTCATTTTCTGGCTTCGCACCACCAGGTAGGCGTCGCTCCTCATCTCCTAGCCAGCGAGTTTCTCAGTCTCTATCTCTCCAGGAACTCAGAGTCTCCGCCGAAGCAGTGAGTATATTACTGACTCACAATTACTTTCCCGGCGGCAATTGGTCGGTCGGCAAGTAACGACGTGTCTGAGGGTTAAAGCTTTGAGTGAATTGTTTTTTTTTTTGTGAGGTTTTGATTATATAAACTAGTAATGGCAACGGCGACGTATCCACCACCTCCGGCGTATTATAGACTATACAAGGATTACCTGCAAAACCCTGAATCGGCTCCTGAGCCACCGCCTCCTATTGAAGGAACTTACGTTTCCTTTGGTTGCAATTACACAGTGAGGTTTTCTCTTGTTACATTTTCTTTTATCAGTCTTTTATATATTTATACGATATCGCCAGTTGAATTTTTTCAGGGATGTGCTCAAGTGTTTGTAGTGTACTTGTCATTGAATTCTTTCTTGTTATTCCAAAAACCTTACTGTTCTTGGAACAGATGTGAGAAACATGATTTATGGAAGCTAATATCTTGTACCTTATGGTTATAATCATGTTATGATTGCGTGGTTCACATCAATGTGTTTTACTTTCCGTTCCAAAAAAAAATTGTGTTATAAATGTTCAATCCTTATGTTTGTTCTTTTTTATAGACTGATGATGTTCTTCCGAGCTTAGAAGAGCAAGGCGTGCGCCAGCTGTACCCAAAAGGGTCAGATGTTGGTAGGCTTATTCCTGATTCAACCTTTAATCGTTTGATTGTGTAAATAAATGAAGGATTATAATATTTGTTCTCTGGTTTGGGGCATTTTTGGTTGGCTTACTCGGTCCATAAGATGAGCAGAAATAGATTATACTGGGTTGAAAAATCTGAACTTAAAAATTGCATATTGGGAGCCTAGCTTGGCTGGCAGGCTACTTAATTCCATGACATCATTTATGTATCATGGTTTTCTTCCTCCTGGATGGATGGGAAATTGCTGCCTAAATGATGGGCAGTTGAGGGCTCTGCCTCAGGGGGTGGGGGAAGGGTGGTGTTGACTGTTTTTATTGATGTTGTTGGAATTGCTTTGGTTACTACCCTATCCTTCTTGCTGATGTTGCTGTGTTTCTGGTGGATCGGGCTTGCAAAAAAAGTAATGTATTGTCAATGCAAAACAAATAAATTATTTCTAGATCTTGGGAGGTCTTGGGATTAGGGCAATTGGTGAATTTAAAAAAAAAATATTTCTAGAGAAGTGACTATGGGGATTCCTGAAAAATGAAACGATCTCTGCACAAGAGTGATAAAAAGCAAAATTTGGTACAGAATGTAGGATTTGTGTTTAGAAGAACTAGATACTCAGATGGGGTGGAAGAAAATAATCAAGGGCAGGGAAGATTTTTAGGAGTATATAAGTTGGGTCAGGCCAAAGTGTTTGTTTTTTTTGGGAACACTTATAATATGCATCAGGATGTTAATGAAGAGAACAGTTACTTTCTTCTTCTTTTTCCCCCTTTTTTGGGTGCTTATGTGTGAATAGCATTATAATCTTTTGTAGATTATAAGAAGGAGCTGAAGTCGCTTAATAGGGAATTGCAACTACATATTCTCGAGCTTGCTGATGTTCTTGTTGAGAGGCCATCACAATATGCAAGGAGAGTGGAGGATATATCCCTTATATTCAAGAATTTGCATCACCTTCTGAATTCTTTGCGTCCCCATCAGGTAATTAATTGTCAAGTTAATTAGACATCCTTAGTTCTTGATTTCTGCAGGTCCTCAGGTATCTGCTTGACAGTGTTGTTTTTTCTCTGCAGGCTAGAGCAACGCTTATTCATATTCTAGAACTTCAGATACAGCATCGTAAACAAGCTGTGGAGGATATTAAGAGGTATGGATATGTAGATTCTCTATGGTCTCAACTACTTGAAATAAGGTATTCTGCTTGGATTCTTAATGCACTCAAAATCAGTCTAATCTTAGCTGTACATTTAATATGAGTAAGAATTATATGCTAAGGAGTACAACTTGACGGTCACCACCTTTTGTTCCTCATCACCTTATTTACATGTTCTTTTTTATTGAACTCTAAAGATTCTATTGGAACCTTCTGTTACTTAACTTTGTATTTGTTGCCTGTGTGAGGGAATTGGGGGTGTTGTCTGAAAACCTTCTAGACTTGCTAGTTGATTAAGCATGAAAGATTGATTTGCATTACAGTACTAAATTATAAACATCTGCCAACAAGATCAATGAATATGCTGAGTGATTTCAATAAGAAGGCTCACTCTTTTTTTTCTTTTTCTATTTCAAAAAAAAAAAAAAGAAGAAAGAAGGCTCTCTCTTCAGAAGGCTTCTCATATCCTTCTGTATCCAATAAAAAAGTTGATGTTAGAGGTGAGCTTCTTAATATGATAGGTTAGCAAAGGGAGTATCTGACAGGCTTCCAATTCTTTGGATGGATCCAATCATTTCAACTTGCTGAATAATTTTGGCTGTCTGACTTGAAGCACATGGTTGCCTGAGTGGTTAAATGCTGTTAATGAGAATCATAATTAATTATTCTTAATGAAAGGTCCCAACAACTTCCTGATTCATCATGCTATTGCTCTAATTGACATATAACTACATTGATCTTAGTAAAAGGTGCTTTGGGTGTTCGCGATTCCGACTTAATGCCAGATAGAAAAGGATTTCGGTTATAGCTTTTCTTGTGATGGTCTGCAACAAGGTGGTACTTGTGATATTTCACTTGGACGCATTTTATTTGACAGTTTTTTAGATATTAGATACTATTCGACGAGTTACTTTATGTAGGCATTGAGAGTGCATCATATTATTGCTGCGCAATGTTTTACAGATTAATGAATCTCCTACTTATTTGATGAGATAGATAAGAAATTATCTATAGTTAAAAACTCTTCACAACTTATCAATAAATATAATCTGTTTGATATGAATAGTTTATTAGTCTTAGTGTGGATGTTCTTTAAGTTGCTAGTTAGCTTCCTAATTCATCAAATCAGGCTTGAATATCTGACCAGAAAAAGCTCAAATGTACAGACTTGTACAGATGGATAATGTAGTAGACCACATAAGAAATTTTTTGAGGTGGCTCCTCAAAGTTCCGTTATTCTCTAGGAATTTTATAGTTTTGTTTGAGAGAAAATATTTTTTGTATCTGCTAATGGTGCTTCAACATTTATACTCATTTCCTCCCAAGAATTTTCTCTAGCAGCTGAAGCATAAAAAAGGATTCAGTCGTGGGATTAACTCTGAAGATATTATATATGTATATATATTTATATTAAACTTCTTATGAAAACAAATTTTTCATTAATATAAAGGTGGAGGGCAATGAGTACCCTCTTTGCCTCTTCTTTTTGTTGATTACGAACTGCATTGGTATCAGACTGAAAGCGTGGACGTGCAGATGTGAACCGTTTTGTACTTTGCTTTTACTCTTGCAATGAGAATGGATTTCCTTATTCACACATTTCAAATGTCAAAATCTTTAACATTATGGAATCTGATAATCCTTGCTTTTACTTTTTGCTTTAATCTACTTTAGCTATGATTCTTGACACTGTTGTTCATGCTGTTGTTTGCTTGTGTAGGAGGAGAGAAGAAGCACAAAGACTTCTGAAGGAGTCTCTTGTAACATTTGACGCCCAGTGATCGCTGTAGTACATACAATTTGTAGCAACCTTTTTTTGTTGCGGTACATTTTCACATAGTCGATCCCCGACCAATGTCATTTAAGTTGTCAAACCTAATCTTTCTCCGTTCTCGTTAGCGTTTATGTTTTGCATTTTAGAGTACTCTTTGTTTAATGCATTATCAAAACCTGTTTAAAAGAATTCAGACCTGTTCATGTCAACCTGCATCCGGGAGAAGCCTTAGGTCCTACTTATTATCACGGGAAAAAAGCCTCCATGATTCGTGAAAATACTCGAGAATGCCCTATAACCCGGAACTTGCACTGAATACTTAATCTACAGTCGGTAATCGAAATTAAGTTAAATAAAAATAGTATGTAAGTTTAAAGTTAATTTTTATGTTAAAATTCAAATTATATATTTAGTGATTCGAATTTTTTAATAGGCGAAATACAAAGTAGTTTACAAAATTATGATTATGGAATTGGATATATAATAAATTAATTTAATTATATATTAATTATGCAAATTATGATTAAATTTTTTATTAAATAATTAAAATATAAAATTTAAAAGAAACATACAAATTTGAGGAGCTTATGTTAAAAATTCTACTTTCGAAATAGAAATTTAATGAACATATTTAAGATTTACCATTTTAAAATTCATTTATTATTATTATTTATTTAGAAAATAAAATATGTAGAATACCAAAAAAATTAATCGGTAAAATTTCAGTTTTTTTTTTTTTTTTTTCCTTTTTCGGTTGTCGACAGTTTATTTTACCGAAAAAAAGAAAAAAAGAAAAAGAAAAAAGAAATAGGTAGTTCAGTGTTCATATGTTCTGATCTCAGTTTGAAATGATCCATATTCTCTACCAACTCCATTCTGTATCATTCTCCTATGTAATCCGACTGAACAAAGCAGCAGTCGCTTTCTCTCTCAGTTTGTCTACACCTGTAATCTCCATGGAGCGCCACATGGAATCATGAAATTACTCCCAGCACAAGACCGTCATCAGCAGCGGCAACGACGACAGCCCTAGAAACATTGATCCAAACAGACTCGGAAACGAACAGAAGGAATAGAAGAAAACCCCTTACTCGAGAAGCAAAATTAGTTGCTTGTAATGGCGGTTTCAGAGGAAGAGTGTTCTACTGCAAAATCTCGACCGTCGGGTTCGTCTTCATCAGCAGCTTCTCACGGCGTTCACTACCTCGCCAAGTGCGTTCTTCGAGGCAGCGTCGTCCTCCAGGTCGCCTATGGTCATTTTCGCTCCCCTTCATTTCTCGACGTCGTTTTTGGCAAGGTCGGCCGTATTCATTTTCCTCACTTTCGTCGTTTTCTTCGTTACTTTCATTTCGAGTGATACGTACATTTATTGATTCAATAGTTATACGTTTATACTAGATAGCAAGAAAATTGGTTTTGGTTTCAAAGTAATGTAACATGCTCAAAAAACAAAAGAGGTCAACTAAGAACTTATTTATCTTTTGGGAGGAAGGGGTTTTTTTTTTTTTTTTGAAGCTTGGTCTGTTATTCTGTTTTGCTGATTATTGAAGCTTGGTCTGGTCTGCTACAGAAGTCCGAAGTACGTTTAAGATATGGTGGACAAAGAATTTGAAATTTTGCAATTAAGGATGTATATAATGTTTTGCGTCTGCAGCGTTATTGCGACTTTCTCGATTTATTGCTCATATGATGTTAATGTTTTATGGAGTTGGCTATAATTCTGGCGTTTGAATATTCGGTGGAGTTGAAAACATGACTATGCTAGCCGAATAATTAAAGGGCATACACTACATGTACTGTTCACTATAGCAATAAGGAGTTAGATTCTTGGAACTTGTCTTTGTTCCCTAGCAGTTTCCTCCTCTTTCCAATGTAAAACATATGGTAATGTAAATGATTTTATTGCAAACCTGTAAGGTACTGGGTTAGCATGGTTGTTATCTAATTATTATCTTTAATGACTCAATCAGTGTGGTTTATAATGGAATTTTGTTCAGGAGACATCAATAGAATTGGTATTCATTGGTGAAGATGGGATTGTCCAATCTGTATGCGAGCAGGCTGTATTTGGCACAATAAAGGATCTTCACACTGTTCCTCGAAGTAACAAGTCTTGTGGACAAAATACTCAGGTTTGTTGGTTGCTTTTCTCTTGATGGACACCCTATATGAATCTCCTTGAGATGTTGATTTATTTCAGGATAAGATTTTGCTTCTCCTTGTTAGATAACTAGTTTTAATGGATGAAAGAAGTTTCTACTATAATTCTTAGATTATGTGTGCTCAGCTTGGCCTTGTCAAGTAGGAAGTGTTCAGATTCAATTTTTTTTTTGCTTTCTCCTGTAGATGCAGGAAAAGGACCTCTTGGTTGTTGTTTCTGATTCAGGGAAACTCTCATTTCTCACATTTTGCAATGAAATGCGCAGGTCTTTTTTTTCTTCATTTCTTTGAATATTTCATTTGTGCATAGGAGAAAAATTTTTAATCTGGTTATTTCTCTGTTTATACTCATCTGTTGTCTTTGGATACTCAAGTCCGCCATAGCTAATATTGACTGTTGACGTAGGTTTTTCCCAATGGCACATGTTCAACTATCCAATCCAGGGAACACAAGATATCAGCTTGGAAGGATGCTATCTGTAGATTCCAGGAAAGTTGCTTTTCTGTTTAGGAAGTTCAAAAAAGAAAAATCTGTTAGAATTCTGGCTGCTTTCCATTAACCTCTGCAAAAAAGCTCTTGTTTTTATCATTAGGTTGGAGATGATATACTTCCAATGATCGCTTAGTATTTTTAAAAATTTTGACCATTGATATAAGCCTTCATGATATTACAAAAATAGAGATTTCATTGATTAGTAATGCCTTTCAATTGAGAACCCTTGCTCCTTTTATACCTGTCTTGCAACTAACCAACTACCCATCATCAACATCATTCTCATACACATACATTGCCCAGACATACTAGATTATAATTTTTTTAAATAGGGAGTAACAAGATACAAAATGGAGAATAAGACATCCTCCTTAGCGTGTCAAACTATAGTAACCAAACAAACACAAGCGAAATCCAAAACCAACGAACAAAGATGCGGCCT